ATTAAAATACAGATGTCTTATATAAATTTCCTAGTATAGAGAAAAACACTTAATATGCTATGATGGAAAGTTTTTAATAGGAAAATGATACTATTAAAAATTAAGAAGATACTAATTAAGACTAAAGTCCATTAAGTTAATATACAAATAAAGACTTTTCTTAAAGGCAAAAAAATAAAAAAGTCTTTTAAACTAAAATAGCTATGATTTAAATGGAGGTAGAAATAGTCCAGGTAATATAAGAATTATCAATAATTAGATTTAGAAAAAAGTATCTTAAAATGATTCTTTATAAAAGTTTGATAGTATTAAAGTTAAGAATGATTATATTTAAAATTAGTTAATTTAAACTCCAAAAATAGAGTTAATAAAATAAAATTTTATATTATATATATATATATTTATATATTTATATATTTATATATATATATAAATTAATATATAAAAAAACATATAGAGAATTCTTAAAAAATAGTAATATTCCATTGTGGCATGCATGGAAAATGATATAAATTAATAATAATATATATAGAATTAATTTTGATTTAACATCTGAATCTGTAATAATATGGGGAACTAATACATATACATAAGTATAAACAAAAAAAGAAAAAATACAGTTATCTAAATTATAATAAGCTCTTGATTTTATTGAATTTGATTTAATTTTACCTTATTAGAAGCCTTTTTCAACTATACAGAATTTAGAGGACTTTATTTTATATTTTATTCTTCCTTTTTTAACTGTAAAAGAAAATGCTAACCATCTTGAAGATTCCAAAGTTGCTTTATTACCAAAACCAGTAGGTATAACTCATAAATTTGATTGGAAAATATTTTTTTTCGAAAAAGAATGTACTGTGGATATGTATCATATTTTAAATAATTAATACGTGATTATTTTAACACAGATAAATAATAAAGATACATTAAGAATTGATGTAGAAATTGATGATTAATGTAAAGAAGAATTATTCAAAAAAATCGATTTAAACGAGAAATATAGAGAATATTATAAAGATGTTATTAATATAGTAGTTGATAAATAAAATAACTTAGATAAATTTATGAATAAATATTCAAATAGGAAAATGTGTGTAGTTTCTAGTGAATCTGTTTGTGTTAAAAATTTAGAAAATTTCATAAATATTTTTAATAAATATTTAGAATGTGTTTAAAATTTTTTAAAGGAAGAATTGAAAATTAATAGTATTATTACATATAATCTTAAATAGAGTAATAAGCTATTGAAATTGCATCTTTTTTTAAAAAATAATATCAAGGCATAGATTTTTTATGTATACGAAGATTAAATTAAATAGATGTTTAAAATTTTTCTTAAAAATACTTTTGAAACTTTTAGTTTATTTTTATTTTTATATTTTTATATATTTTATATTTTATTTTTTGTTTAACAAAAATAAGGTCCAAATGATAATAAAGTATAAGCATTTGGATTTATAGAAGTTAAATTTTGTGATTTATGGAAAGAATTTGGAACTGATTATGAGACTTTAGATAAGAATGAAAAAATTATGGTTTGTAATCTTTTATCTAAATAATATTACCTATATGTATTTGAAAAACGTAAATTTTATATATTAAAATAAAATTATTTTTAAATATAAAAACAAAAAAATAGCATTAGAATAAGATGACTATGATAGATTTAATTAAAATAGTATATAAAAAAAGAATAATATAATAGGTTTACATTAAAGATCTTTTTATAATGAAGATAATTATAAATATTTAATAACTTTAAGTTTTTTGGGATTCTAGGATACAATTTTAGGAATAAAGGCGACAGTTTTTAATTAATAAAAAAATGAGGAAAAAGGTGTATTTTTTATTTTAGATGAGTCTTATTATAAAAAGGAGGAAAAAGAAGGAAAAGATTAAAAAAAAAGATCAAAAAAATATAAGGAAGATTTCAATATTAATAGTGATTATTTTATTAATGATTTGTTAAAAAGCTTTGGGTGGAATATTATATTGTAAAATATTTAAGTTAATTAAGATAAATAAAATGATGACTTATATTTGTATGGACCTTTAATTGTTAATAAATATTCGCAAATTCTATGCTTTGAAAGTTTATTGGATTTTAAAAATATATAAAATGCTTTAACTTAATGAAAAATTCTAATATTATATAGATTTAAATAGATTTATATTTTTATATATTAAAGTTATTACATTATATATTTTTTTATTTAATATCTATCTATCTATTTATATATTTTAAATCTTAATAATTAATAACGATTTTTTTTTTTTTTAATTATAAAATATATATATATATATATATATATATATATATATTAAAATATATAATTAAAAGGAAAATTCAAAAATATATTTATGCATGCATTATAGGTAATAATTTTTTCTTTTTAAAAATAATCAATAATATATATAATAAATAAAATATAATATAATTAATATAAAAATAATAATATATTTTTTTATAGAAAAATAAATATATTATTATTTTATTAAAAAAATATATGTTATTTTGTTTGTATAAAACAAATTATTATATAATCATTTTATATTTTAATAAAAATAAAAAAATAGTCTTTTAATTAATTTAATAATTATTATTGATATTTTTTAAAAAAATAATAATAATAGAATTAAATAAATATATAATTTATTTAATTTTAATTCTATTTTTTTTTCTTCTAACTTTTTAAAAATTAATAGATATATTTAAAAATAGATTAAAATTTCAAATTAGATTTTTTTTAAAAAAAAAATATTATAAATCTCTTTTATAATATTAATAAATAAATAAACTTTTTTTGTCAAATATTTTTTACCTTCCAAAATTTTGTAAATTGAAATTGATTTAAACAATATTATAACATATATTTAAAAAAAAAAAAAACAAAAAAAATCAAAAAAAAAAAAACAAAAATTATAAAATTTATTTTCATTTTAATTTAAAAAAATAATAAAAAAAAAAAATAAGAGTAATTTAATTTAATTTAAAAGCTTCTAAGTTTAATTTAAAAAAAAAAAATGAATGAAATTAAATGTAATGAAAGTTTTTATAATTTATCACCTATAAATGACAAAAATTAGAGTTCTTCTTCTTAAACTAGTGTTTCTTAACATAGAGAAAAATAAAAAAACGAAGAATTTAAAATAAAATAAGAAAACAAAAAAAAAAGGATTAAAAAAAGATTAGAAAAATAAGAATTCGATTAAATTAATCCTGAAAAAATTAATTAAATGATATATTTATTCATGAATAATCAAGAAATGACTGTTAATAAGGCATCTAAAATATTTAATATATCTAAGGCTAATATTAGAAAATGTATGGTTTAATATGGAATAGGATGCGCAAAAGTAAAAAAAATTTAAATATTTATATAAAAAAATTATACATATAAATATATTTATATATATATATATTTTAATTATATTAATTTAATAAAAAAATAATTAAATAAATTAATGTAAAAAGGGCAGAGGTAAAAAAATAAATAGATATACATTTGAGTCTAGAAAAAAAATATATAATCGTTAAAATTTAATTGAAAAATAAAAATAAGAAAAAAAAATCTAAACAATTAATGAACCTGATCCAATAAAAGATAGTAATGAACCAGATTGGTATTTATTTTTTAAAAAAAAATAATAAAAATACATATAACATATATGATAAATTAAACTATATTTAGGAAAAAAGTTGAACTAAGAATTATTTTTCCAAAAATTAGATATGGATAAGTACATTAATATGATAGATACTATGATAGATTAACTAAAGAAATTTAATTAAAGAGTATTATGTGGTTAAATTTTAGAAAAGGAGATAAAATAACTGGTAAAGGCTGCTATATATTTATTTTGGCTTTATATAATTAAAATATATACAGTGATAATTCTTAAGTGGAAAAATTTTTAGAAAAATACCTTCCTGAAGATTTTTTTGCTGGAAATTGTTTGAATACAAACAAAATACGAGTTTTTGATTTAGAAATAGAGGGGATTGAGGAAAAAATATTAAAATGAAATAAAAAAAAGTAAGTAGAAGGAATATAAAAAGTAATATTTGGAAGAAGAAATTATTTAAAAAAGCTTTTAAAAGAAAAAAAAAGATTAAATTTTAATGGAAAATTAAATTATTAATAATTAAGATTTTCAGAAAAATAATAATGAATTAAATTGTTCTTTTGTGGATTATAATAATTTAAATTAAAATAATAATAATAATGGAAATTATTGCTAATTTGATTTATCAAGCAATTTTATTTATTTAGATGAATGTAAATTAAATAATAATAATGTGATTTAATAAAACTTAAATTAATAATAATATTTTGGATATTATAGCGAATAATAAGAATAATAAAGCTTCGAAAAAATATAAAATAACATTTTTTTAGATTAATAATTTTATATATGAAAATAAAAATTATTTTAATATTTATGCTTATTTATAAGTTAAAAAATATTTAAAAATTTTTAAGATTTTTACTCTTTCCTTTTATTTTCTTTATCTCTTTTAAATATAAAAAAAATATTTGTTAATAATTTAAAAAAAAATATAGTATATATTAGATATTATTTTATTATATAAATATAAATATGATTATTAATTAATTATTAATAATTTAACAATAATATTTTATAATTTTATATTTATTTTCATTTATTATTTTTAACCTTAATAAAAAATTCAATTTTAAAATAATATATATCTATATATATTTTGTAATCGTATATTAATAATAATAATTTTTTTAATTTAATTTATATTAATTTAAAAATATTATTGTATTATTTACTATGAATTATTTTAAAAAAGAAAAGAGATATTTATTCCATAACTATTTTTTATTTTATAAAATAAATAAAAATAAATACAAATTTATCAAAAAAAAAAAAAAACTGTATTAAACAAAAAAAAAATCACTATTAATTTTATTTATGCCATAAATAAATAAAACCTAATTTAAAAATAAAAAAATATATATTATAAAAATTTTAAAAAAAAATGACAGATAAAATATAATTTTATAATAAAACTGCAGAAGAAACGTTAGCTATCTTAGGAAGTGACATATAAAAAGGGCTGAACTAAACCAAAGCCGAAGCTCTTCTATAAAAGTATGGACTTAACGAATTACAAAAAGAAGTCGGAGAATCTATATGGGAGAAAATAAAAGAATAGTTTGAAGATATTCTTGTTAGAATTTTAATATTAGCTGCTCTTATATCCTTTGTAATATCATAATTTGGTAAATAAATTCATATTAATTATTTATATATAATTTTAAATATAGAAGATCATGGAGATGATCATGGAGTACCATCTTGGGTTGAGCCTGCTGTAATTTTCACTATTTTAATAGTAAATGCATTTGTAGGAATCTGGTAGGATTTAGATGCTGAAAAAGCGATTTCTGCTTTAAAAGATCTATAATCGCCTCATGCATTAGTTTTAAGAGATGGAAAATGGGTTGAAATTGCTGCTAAATTATTAGTGCCTGGAGATATTGTTTAAGTAAATATAAAAAAAAAAATATAAAATATATAATAAATTAAAAAAATATATATAAATGTATATTTTTTATGTATATAAAAAAATAATATATATATATATATATATATATATATATATATATATTTATTTTTTAAATATATATTTAATTAATTTATTTTTTTTAGGTATCATAAGGCGATAAAATACCTGCTGATTTAAGACTTATTGAATTAAAAACTATAACCTTAAAAGCCGATTAATCTATTTTGACAGGAGAATCTGATCCTGTAAATAAAAGTAATTTTTTTTAAATAAATTATATAATTATATTAATATAAATATATTTTTAGCTATAAAACCAATTGAAAAAAGTTAACAAGTAGGTGTATTGGACAAATTAAATTACTTATTTGCTGGAACATTAATTAATAATGGTTCTGCTTTAGCTATAGTAGTTTAAACAGGAATGAATACTGAAATTGGTTAAATTCAAAAAGAAGTTTAAGACGCTGCTAAAGATACTAAGGATGATGATTCCCCTTTGAAATAAAGAATCAATGAATTCGGTGATTAATTAGCTAAATATATCTCCTACATATGTATAGTATGCTGGGCTATGAATATTCCTAATTTCACCGACGAAGCTTTCGGACATTGGTTTAAAGGAGCTATGTATTACTTTAAAGTAGCCGTTGCTTTAGCTGTAGCAGCCATCCCTGAAGGTTTACCAGCTGTTATTACTACTTGTTTGGCTTTAGGTACTAGAAGAATGGCTAAGAAGAAAGCTATTATTAGAAAATTACCCTCTGTAGAGACTTTAGGATGCACAACTATTATTTGTAGTGATAAAACCGGAACTTTAACTACAAACGAGATGTGTGTAGAAAACTTCTTTTTGATATCAGACAAGGAAGGAAACCGTATTTAAAATTTCACAGTATAAGGACATTCTTATAATCCTGATGGAAATATTGATGTACTAGAATAAAACCCTAATATGAAAAACTTGAGATAATTTGTAACTTCCATGGTATTAAACAACGAATCTAAACTTATGTATGATATCGAGAAAAAAAAAGTAAATAGAACTGGTCTCCCTACAGAAGCCGCATTAAAAGTATTAGCCGAAAAAATAGGAAAATATGACCCTTAATTCAAAAATAAATATACTTCATATCAATAAGGAGGCTAAGTTGAGTAATATGGAGAATTCTTATCTTCTGAATATACAAAATTAGCTACTTTGGAATTCACTAGAGATAGAAAATCCATGAGCGTGTTAATGAGAGGAAAAAAAGACCAAAAAAACACCCTTTTCATAAAAGGAGCCCCTGATTATTTATTAAAAAAAGCAAGCAAAATACTCAATGTAGAAGGAGAAATAGTATCATTTAATGAGCGCTCTAAAGCCGATTTTGAACTCCAAATTAAAGAATACGCCAAATAAGGGCTCAGAACACTCGCAATTTGTGTTAAATTCGATACTGGAATATTAGCAGATTACAACGGTCCAGAACATAAGGCCTTTAAAGAGCTTGAAAACAGCGAAAATTATGCTAGATTGGAAGATGATCCTATTCTTATTGGTGTAGTAGCAGTTAGAGATCCTCCTAGACCCGAAGTTAAGGACTCTATTAGGAAATGTAAGGAAGCTGGTATTTCTGTAATTATGATTACGGGAGATATTAAAGAAACTGCAGAATCTATTGCTAGAGATATTAACATTATTTAAAACGGAGATGAATAAAATAGATCTTTGACAGGATTTTAGTTCGAAAACTTATCTGAAGAAGAATAAATTAGAAAAATGTAATTGGTTATAGATTAGCCTTCAGGCTTTGTATTTTCCAGAACAGATCCTAGACATAAAAGATAATTAGTAAAATTACTTTCTGGATAAAAATAAATCGTAGCAATGACTGGAGATGGTGTAAATGATGCCGCTGCTATCAAATAAGCCAATATAGGAATAGCTATGGGTATTTCAGGTACTGAAGTAGCCAAAGAAGCTTCTGATATGATTCTTTCTGATGATAATTTCTCAACTATTGTAGCCGCAGTAGAAGAAGGAAGAGCCATATATGCTAATATGAAAGCCTTTATTAGATATATGATCTCATCTAATATAGGAGAAGTTGTAAGTATTTTCTTATCAAGTATTTTAGGAATACCTGATGGCTTTAATTCTGTTTAATTATTATGGGTTAATTTAGTTACAGATGGTTTACCAGCTACTGCTTTATCGTAATATATATATAAATATAAAAAAATAAATTAATATATATATATATGTAATAGATTTAATCCCGCAGATCCAGATTGTATGAAAAAACCACCAAGAAGACATGATGAACCATTAATTAGTGGTTTTGTATTTTTCAGATATTTAATTATAGGTACATATGTAGGTATTTCCACTGTTTTTATTTTTGTTTATTATTATGTTGCTTATGATGTAAAAACATATATATTTATATAAATTAAACTTTTTTTATATATATTAAGTGGGCTGGTGATGGTCATCCTTTAATTGATTTCCGTCATTTAAAAAATTGGAGTGAATGTTCAACTTGGAAAGATTTCTCAGTACCATCTTTTGGTAAATATAACTTCTCTCAACATCCATGCAATTACTTTAGTTGGGGCAAATAAAAACCAAGTACTTTATCTTTGACTACTTTAGTTATTATTGAAATGTTAAATGCTCTCAATGCTCTTTCAGATGAAGGATCGTTAATTAGTATAGGACCTCTAGCAAATCCTTATTTAGTTCTGGCTATTATAGGATCTGTTTCTTTACATTGTATGATATGTTATGTACCTTTCTTTGAAAAAATATTCAATACTGTACCATTGACTACTAATGATTGGATTCTTGTAATTATGTGTGCGTTTCCTGTTGTTATTATAGATGAATTTCTTAAGTTTATTGCAAGATAAAAAACTTAATCTGATTTAAAGAAAAGAATGGAAGAACATAAACATCATAAATAAGATTGATTATTTTTTATAAATATTATTTTATTTAAATAGTTTTTCTTTGTCATTAAATATTTAATTATTTTTAAAAAGTTTATAAAAATATAATTTTATAAAAAAAAAAAAAATATAAATCTATATAATTTATTTTAAAAAAAACTTAAATTTTAATTTTAAAATATATATATAAAAAAAAAAAATAATATACTTATTAAAATTAAAAATAAAATAAAAATATTTTAAAAAAAAAAAAAATTAATTTTAAATAAAAGAAAAGAGAAAAAAAGAACATTTCTTAACTAAAAAAAATAATATAATAAAAATAAAAAATAATTATATTTATATATATAAATATATATATATTTATAAAAAATTATATATACATATTTTTTTATTCATATAATTTTTATATTTTTTTATTTATATATTTAAATTAAATTAATACAAATTTAATTAATAATAAAAAATGATACGATCAATAATAGGTATAGAATGTGGAAATAAAAAAACTGTAATATCCAAAATTGACCGTAATGGTTTATCAAATATTCCTTCAGATTCCTCTAACAGAGAAATTCCTTCTGTAATTGTATATACAGAGAAGAATCGAATATTTTCGGAATAAGCCTTAGACCGTATTAAGGCTTATACTAATTCAGCAATTATATACCCATATAGATTATGTGTATAAGATGAGTATTAAAAAGGTTATTTTTTATTCTAGTATGATGAGAAGGATAACATGGGAATAATTAATGGAGAAAAATGGTATGTTTTCTAGATTTTAGCTAGTTATTTTACTTATTTAGATCAACTTATTTCTAAGAATTCCGAATAGTATGTTTGTGTTATTTCCGTGCCTAATTATTTTTCATAAAAAGAAAAGTATTTTTTTTAAAAAGCTTTATAAATTGCCAAACTTCCGTGTTTGAAAGTAATAATGTTTTAAAATAATCAAAAAATTATTTATTTATTTTTTTTAAAAAAAAGATTGTTGAAGAACATATGTGTATAGCTTATAGTTATTTACAAACATAAAAAAATGTGTTAAAAGAATAAGGAAAAAAAACCATTTTGTTCATAGATTTGGGAGAAACCTAAACTTCTGCCTTTATTTATTTATTCGATAATACTAAAGGAACCCTTTTATAGATTGAATCTTAGAAAAATCTCGGCTTGAGAGATATAGATAGATATATATATGAATATTTAGCTAAAAAATATACTTATTTTAGTAAATTAAATAAAAAAACGTATCTTAGAGTACTCGAATAAATCGAGAAATTACGAAAAGTATTAAGTTCGAATAGTGAGGCGAATTTACATATAGAATATATAACTTAAGATGAAGATTTAGATCATTATTTTAGTCGTAAAGAGTTCGAAAATATAATCTCAGACAATTTTATGTAGGATTTTATGAAATTTTTAAATTAGTTTAGTTAATAAAATTTAAATATAGATGAAATAGAACTTATAGGCAGTGGAAGTAGAATTCCTTTGATTTTATAGAAATTAAAAGAAGTCTTCTAGAGATAATATATGGGAATTATACTTTAAAACGGCGAATAAATTAGTAGGGGAAGTGCATTAGTTTGTGCTTTGTAAGCTTCTTAAATTAATCCTTTTGTTAAAATCGAAAATTATAAGGTTTAGTCTTTATTTACTGAATAAGACTAACTTATTGAAGTATTTTTGGGATAAACCTTAAAAAAAGGGGAAGCTTTACTCTATAAAGGAAAAGAATTACCCTTTTTCTTTAATATAGAAGGTGAATTATAAGGAGAAGAGAATAGCTTTTTGAGTATAAAATTTGGAGAAATCATATATAAGACCGAAGTTTTAAAAGGCGGGAGTCAGTTTAAGGTCGTTGGGTAAATAAATGAGTGTAAAATGCTGGAAATTGAGGAAGTTTTAGTTGATTTTTAAGAAGTTAGTGTAGAGAATAGTCTTATTTAGGATAGTTAAATGATTGATTTTATAGAAAAAGAAAAGGAAATGAAAGAAAGGGACTTAAGTATATAAAGAATTTTATATAAAAGGAATTTTCTGGAAGTGTATTTAAATGAATGTTAGTAATATTTAAAGGAATATTTGTAGTTTTTTTACTAGGAAAATGAACTAGTAGAAATAAAGGCAGTTTTGGAAGATTTTAAAAACTTTATAGAAAATTCATTGAATGAAAAAGATGGTTTAAAGGAAGAAATTATAGACTAGAAAATATTTAAAATATAGGAAGTTTATGAGCCTTTGAAAAAAAAATATGAAAGTAGTTAATTTAAGAAAATGTAAATTACTTCTATTTAAAATTTGAAAGTTTTTTCGAAATAGTTTAGTGGATAAAATTTAGAAGATGTTTAAATTTTATTTAATAATTTAGACTTTGGGGATGGTTCGAGAGGGATTTTTTCACTTTTTTAGAAAGAAGGCGCAAATAAGGTTGGAGAATATTTAAATTGTTTTAATGTAACAAATTCTTTTAGTTTAGAAATTGGAGGGAATTAACTCAGTGATAGTGGAATTAAATGTATTTTTGATGGGATTTAAAAATATATAAGTTTGAGAGAATTCAAAATTAATTTAGAGAGTAATTTAAAGTCTAAGAATGCTAATAATATAACAGAAAAAAGCATTGTAATTATTATAGAGTTTTTATAAAAATTACATTAATTGGAAATTTTTGAATTTATTGTTAATATTTTAATTGAAAAAGACTTAGTTTTATTATAAAATGTGTTAAAAAATATCAAAAGTTTAAAAAAAGTAGAAATTTTTATTAAAAATTATTAAATTTTACCTGAAAATAGAAATGAATTTTTATAGTAACTATCTTTTGTTAATTTTTGTACTTTTGAGTGTTATAATTAGAAAGGGATGAGGATTAATTATTGAATATTTATTATTATTTAATTTTTATTATATTTTTATATAAAATATATATATAATATAATTAAAAATATATATATATATTTATTTATATTTATATAAATATATATATTATCATTTTATCTTTGGTTTTTTTTTTATTATTTGTAATATTTTAAACTACTCAATTTATTAAATGATAATTCATTTTTTCTATCATTTTTTTTACATTATGCTTTTATAAAATTTTAGTGATTAATAATAATATATTACTATATTACTTTATAAAATAACAAAAATAACAATAACTTAAAAATTGCTAAAATATATGATTTATAATGTATTTATTTTTATGATTTTATTATTTATAATTTATATCAAATATAATTAATATGTATATTAATATAATATATATATATATATATATATTTATATATATTTATATATTAATATGAGAAATTCTATTCTATTTTTTATTTAATAATTTATTTTTCTTATGTTATTTTAATATATATCTATTTAAAATAAAAATGTTTTTATTAAAAATGTATAATTAATTTTTAATAATAAATAAAGATTGTTTAATTATTAATTTTTATGTTCATTACAATAAATATTATATTATATTATATATTACTTTTGAAGAGAAAAATATTTTTTTAACAAATTATTGACTTTTTAAAAAAATCAATGAAATATACTGCTATATAATGGTTATGAAAAAAATCTAATTGCTTTTTAGACTATTTTCAAAAGAGTATTTGAAAATTTATGTTTGACTTTAAATAAAAAGACAAATTCCAAAGACTATATACTTTTTTTAAAATGAAAGAAAAAAAAACCAGAATTATAATTTAATTAAGCAGAATGAAATAAAATTAAATTTACATAATTCTAATTGAAAAAATGATAATAATATGCAAAATAATCGAAATATGTAAATAAAATTACTTAAAAATATAAAATATTATAGTCGTAAAATTTTAAAAATTAAGAGAAAATAATATATATATGTCTAATATTTATAAAATATTTAGTTTTATATAAAATAAAAAAATATGTTTTTTAAAGTATAAGAAAAAAATGATATAAATTATAAAATTAAAAGTTAAATTAGAAATAAAAATAAAATAAATAATATAAATTCAACTTAATAATAAATATTATCAATTATATAATAAAAATGTAATTCTTAAATAATTCTTTAAAAACTAAATTAGATATATATATAATTTTGTTATAATTTATAAAATTTAATAATAAAAATATGTATGTTAAAAAAAAATTATTAAATAAACATTTTAAATATTAAAAATAAAAAAAAAAATATATATAAAAATATAAATAGAAAATAATATATAATATCTAAAAAAAAACATAAGAAATAATAATTTAATAATAATAATATAAATATAATATATGTATATATATTAATAAATAATATTTTAAATATATATATATATATATATTTATATATATATATATATATATTTATTTTTATATTATTATTTTTTTTATATTATTATTTTTTTATTTTTTTATTGTATTATTTTATTATTGTATATATATATTTTAATGTTATTTATATTTTTATTTTTATTAATATATTTATATTTATTAATTTATTAAATTTTTTTCAGTTTTCTTTTACTAATGAAATAATTTTATAATTATTAATAATTTTAATAGAAGATTATATTAAATCTTTATTTACTTTTTACCATTTTTTATTAAAGATTAATAAATTTTATAATACTTTTTTATTACAATTTATCCATATATATATATATTTTTATAAATTTAATTTCAAATTAAATGATAATAATCAACAATAATAATAAAATTTGATTTTATAAAAATATAATAATAATAATTTTTGCATAAAATTTTTTTCTAAATTTTATATTATTACTTTACATATTTTAATTATATTTTTTGTTAATTGTTTATATAATTATTTAAAGTATGTTTTTTTATTAATATTATAATAATAAATTCATATCTTATTTTTATTTTTTAGTATTATTATAATTTAATTATAATTATTTATTTTATTTTAAAATTAAATATTAAAATTAAACTTTTTTATATATTATTTATAATGACTTAATTATTTTAAAATAATATTTTAAAGAACTTTATTTATAAAATGTTTTTTATTTTATAATAATTTTAATTAATAATTTAAACATAATAATTAAATTTATTTTTGAATATATAAATAAAAGTATTTATTATATTATTTAACAATATAAAGAATTCAATATAATTAATTTATAAAAATTATTTCATATTGATTAATAATAATAATATTTTAATTTTAAAAATTATATAAAATATATTATTTTCATCTTTTTCAATTAATATTAATATTATAATAATTTTTTGAATAAATTTTTATATATATTTATTAAATTTTTATATAAGTTTTTAATAATGTATTAATATAAAGGTATAATATAAATAAAATATTTATATAAAATTCATTTCCTTTTATTATTAATAAAATAAAAATATTTTTTTTTAAAAATTAAATTTTAATTTTTTAAACACTAAATAAATTTATTTATTATTAATTAATATTTGATAAATATAAAAAAAATTTTAAAATCATTATTAAATTTTTATACATTTGAAATTAAAAAAAAATTAAAATACAATAATATTTAATATTATTTAAAAAAAAAAAAAAGTTAAATAAAACAATAAAAAAAAAAATAATATGAGTTATAACATTCCGTAATACAAAGAATATTATTCAACAAATCATATTAAATTAAATAATATAACACCAGTAAGCCATTAAGAAAATATATCTCCGCACTAAAAATACATTGAATATTAACAAAATTAGACATATGTTTATAGTCCTTAATAAATGTCTAATTAATAACATAGTTAATTTTAATATGACATAAATAAAAATAATACAATAAAAATGACTAGCATAGAAAATTAATCAATAAAAAAATTATAATATTAAGGAGAGAAAAAATATGCTTTTGAATAAAACAATAGAGATTAAAATTATTTCAATATAAATAAATATTTTAAAGGAATCGATAATGAATTATCGAATTTAGATTTGTAAATAACTCGAAATAATAATAATAATATTAATAATAACTTGATATTAATAATAATAATATTAATAATAAAATTAATAATAATAATAATAATAATAATAATAATAATAATAATATCTTAAATTAAACATATGATTTATCTAAATAATTTTAATATGTCAATTAATTTTAATTAAACTAAACATAAAGTAGATTTATTTACGAAAATCAAGAAAATCAATAAATACATAATATTAATGTTCAACCAATTAATTATACTTAATCTAGTATACCTTAATCTAATATTTAAAATATTAATTTTTAATATCAATAGCCTCAAAATGTTTTAATTTAACCTAACTTATAATAACAAACTTATAAAACATAAATCAGTTTTTAGGATAAAACTCCATTAATACAATAATTTTATGAATATAGAAAAAATCCTTAAACTAACTAAAATTAAAATCAATAAGATCAAAATTAACAGGAATCTAAAAATATTAAAAATTAATAAGTCTAAATAACTAATTTTTTGCAAAATAATCCTTATTTATATTCAGATGAAGGAGATTAGGAAGATATTTTGGAATAATATAGATAAAATTAAAAGCCTTTTTAAATGAATGATATATATTAAAAATAGATAAATGAAAATTAATAATAAATAGAATTAAGCCCTGTTTAAATTAAATAAATAATTTAAGCATAAAAGGAAGAAGATAAAGATGAAGAATATTTAAATAAAATATAAACTAGAATATAAAATAATGAGTTTAATTAAATAATAGGGTAATATATGAATTAAAATCAATAGAAAGGTAATATTCTATAGGAACTAGAAAACAAAAATAGGATAAATAATATAAAAAATGAATAGTGTTTTAATAATAAAAATACTGAAAAAGAAAGAAATAAAAATGATATTTAAAATTTCCTTAATAAAATTTCTTAAGATAAAACTAATAAAAACTATTATTATATAAAATTTATTTTCGAATAAATAATTATGGATGGTGAATTAGATAAATTAAAAGAAGAATTTTTTAAAAAATTTACTATTTAAAATATTTTTGATTTCTTCGATTATAAATAAAAAGGATATATTGATTTCTAAACTTTCATTGATGGTATTGAAAAAATTTCTATTCCTTATACTAAATAAGTTCTATTCATTATATTTTCTAGATATTCTAGTGATGAAAATAATTAATTTTTAAAGTATTTTTTATTTTTATTATTTTATAAATAAATAAAAAAGATATTGTGAATTTTTAGATATGTTTAGTTTATAAGGAAAAGAGTATTAATTAAATATAATAATAAAATAAATATATATATATATATATTATATATATTTATATATATATATAAATAGAAATAGAAATTCCTTTGTTAGAGGATTGTTTAATTTTGTTTAAAATAATTAAAACAAATTGGATTAAAACAATATATGTAATAATGAAACAGCAAAAAGTTTACTAAACTAAATGTTTCAACATTTTATAAATATTGAAAAGTCATTATTAAGTTTTAAAGAACTATAAGGTGATGAAGATAATCTTATTAATTTATTTAAATTAACTGATAAAGATTAAAAAGGTTATTTAGTTTTAAATGATTTTTTTTGGCTTTTGAATAGTTAAGGAGGAGATTTTTAAATGTAGGAATTTGTGGGAATATTTAAAAGAATTAATTCTTTAAACAAATCAGGTAGAATTGATTTTAATGAGTTTTTATTGACTTTAAAATGTTAGGCTGTTATAAATAATAGTAATAATAATACAAACTAAAACGGTTTGGATGTTCCTGTTCTTTAAAATACTAAAATTAAATAAGATATTGATTTCCCTGGTTATTAAAAAATTAAATTTAAAGGAAAACAAAAAAATTAATGATTTTTAGTTATTTTATTTTTTTTAAATAGTAAATGTATATTTTTTTTTATATTAGAAGAAATATAATATACATATTTGTTATAAATTATTATTTTACATAAAATGTATTTATAATTAATATAAAAGTATAATTATTTGCATATATATACATATATATTATATTTTTTCAAAAAAAACATATTAATATTTATTTTTAAATAAAAGTGTTCTTTAAATAATTTATTTAAAAATTTTGATATTTAAAATAAAATTTTTACATTTATTATTATTTTTTTATATATATTTAAAAAAAATAAAATATTTATATTAAAAATAAAATGTAATATTACAATAATTACGAACCATAATCATAAAACGCATTGAATAATTAATAAAATTTTCAATAACAATAAAATCCTTCATATAAATAAAATTTTAATGAAAATGTTTAAGATTATGGAAATTATTAATCAGGTGTATGTAAATAAAATACATTATCAGAGGAAAAAGTCGAAAAGTTATTTTGGATAATAACAGTAAAATAAAATATATATTTATTAAATTTAAAATATATTATAATAATTAAGCTAACAAGCATATTTAATTCTATTATGAAAATTGATTATAATAGTGTTGCTTATCTATTTTTATATTATTTATGGATTTCAAGAACTGGAGATTAACATTATAAAATAGTAAAATAATTATATAAAGATAAGAAAAATAAATTGTTATATATTTTAAAATAAAGTATTAATATTTTAATTTAGCATTTATATTTATTGATTTAATTTGGATTATGTTCAATATGAGTTCTTGGTTTTTTAAAAGTGGATAACCTGTATGGGATAGCTTTATAGGATATCACGTATTTACTTGTTTAATTTGTTTTGTAATTATGATTTAGAAAGTAAAAAAATATATAATTATATATATTTAAAAATAAAAAAGGGGATATTATCATATTTTTTAAATGTTTGTATGAATGAAAATTAAAAAAAATTTTGAAAATAATATATATAAATTAATATATATAGAAATATTATATATATATATATATAATATTTATATTTATATATATTTTATTTTTTGATTTAGAATTTTTTATTTTTTATTATATTAATTATTATTATTTATTTATTTACTATAAAAAAAAATGGCTGAAGCTGAAATTGCAAAAATATTATATTAAAATTTAATTAACAGATTAAATAGATTAAATGAAGAATATATTTAATAAAAATAATTAATAGAAGAAGTTCGAGATAGAATTTATTTTTTCTGTAATATTGAATATACTCCAGAATAAAGAATATAGTAAACATTCCATTCTGATTATCAAAAAATAAATAAAATTTATGAATAAGTAAATGAATTATAAGAATAACAAATACTCTAACATATAGCTAAAGATATGTGGAAATTGTATTTGAAATTTAGTTTACTTGATGGAAATAGAGTTAATCATCTTTTTATGTAGGCAAAAGCTTATAGCTATGAACATTTAGAGGAAATATCTTAAAATAGAACTGTTTTACATAATTATTATTAGGATATAAAAGATGTTAATAATCCAGAAGAAAAAGTTAATATATGAAATTATTTATTGTCTTAATATAAATTAAAAAAATTAAAAAAAACCTCATAAAATAAAATAAAATTATATTTCTTTTTTTCTTTTAAATATTAAAAAAATATATATATATATATATATTTTATAAAAATCTCAAAACTATTTTAATACTTCTATTGTTTCCTATAAAAGCTTAATTTCGCTATTTAAATTAGTAACTTTTTCTTGATTTTCAGCTTTTATATTTTCCGGAACTTTATCTTCATAATTAGGAATATTCATTTTTTTCAATTAATTTTCAAGCATTTTTTCGGCTTAAGCCAATTTAGTTTATTATCTAGAAATCTTTAAAAACAAATAATTAATATTTATATATAAATATATATTTATATATAATACCTCTTATTTAACGTCAAGAAATTCTTTTACATTCACATAAACTATTGCATTGCCACCTACTGCACTTGGAACGCATCCTTTAGGTACTTCGCTTTCATTTTCAATAAGTTAAATGGAGTTTACTCTTGATAAAGTACAAATAAGTAATTGTTCATTTTTTATTAAATTTTTGAGTTCTTCGTTTTTATTAAGAACTATAATATAAGAAGCAGGTTAAGCACTTTTAGGAAGATTGAGATTATTTACTAATTATCTAACCACTTTAGCAATATTATTTACATGATTGAATTAATTATCTATAATAGGGAACTCGAATTAGGTATTGTACTCTGGGTATGGATTAATACAAATAGAGTCTTGTTTTTGGGAAAAAGAAGGTAGTTTCTAATATAATTCCTCACTAATAAAAGGCATCATAGGGTGAAGTAACCTTAAACCACTTTCAAGTATGTAAAACAGTACGAATATAGTCTATTATTAAGCATTATTGTTTTAATTATTATTATTTTTGGAAGATAAAATAGGTTTAACGGCTTCTAAATAAATATCACAAAACTCATATTTCCAGAAGTTTTGGAAGAAAATAGTGGCATTTCCGAAATCGTATTTATCAAAAGCTTCATTTATATTTTTGGAAGCTTAATTAAATCTAGTAAGTATCCATTTATTAAGGAAAGTTAAGTTCTGTAGATTAGAGGGATTTTAGAAGTATTCGTTTCTGGTATATATGAAATTTTCTCTGGGAATATACATTAGACCAAATTTAACACTTTACCATATTTTATTACAGAATTCTCTATATCCGATTACCCTTTTGATATCTAAATTAATGTTTCGGGCTTATTACATATAGGCTAAGAGACCAAATCTTAAAGCATCGGAACCACATTCTGGAAAACCTTCAGGGTATTCTTTTTTTTTTAGTTATATGGCCCTGTTTTGCTCTTTTTTGTCGAGGTTGCCTTCCAAGATCTTATTTACTAGTTTATCAAGGGAACATCCGTCAATTATTTCTAAAGGATCGATTACATTTCCCTTTGATTTGGACATTTTTTCTCCTTGAGAATCTCTGATCATGGGATGTAAAAATACATCAGTAAAAGGGAGTTTATCAATTAAAATTAGACCCATCATAACCATTCTGGCTACCCAAAAGAATAATATATCCCATCCAGTCTCTAATATTTGGTTAGGATAAAAGGCTTTGTAGTCTGGGTTCTCAATATTAGGCCATCCCATAGTAGAAAAAGGGAAAAGGGCAGAGGAAAACCATGTATCGAGCACATCTTCGTCTTAAATTAGTTCAATTTCGGACTCTTATGTATTTAATTTTGAGGCGGCAATTTTTAAAGCTTGCTCTTTTGTACGGGCTACTATCCAGTTTTCTTAATTGGAAGAATCGGGGATAGTTTAGGAGGATTTAAGCTTGAATAAATAAGCTGGAATTCTATGTCCCCACCATAGTTGTCGGGAAATACACCAGTCTTGGGGGTTTCTCATAAATTAGAACCAGTTCTTGTCGAATTCGCCTTATGGGTGAATTTTTAATTCACCATTTTCGACGACATCGCACATTCTTTTGGCTATATCAGTACATTTTATATACCACTAAGGTCTCAATAAAGGCTCTATGACATCACCAGAACGCTAGCATAGACCTATAGACATTGGGTTTTTACTTTTGTCTTTATATTGACCTATTTTTTGTAAATCTTCGACTATTTTATTCCTACAATCGAATCTTTTAAGGCCTTTATAGGGTCCTCCATTTTCATTTATAATACCATAGTCATCGAATAAGTTTATTTTTGGTAAATTATGTCTTTCTCCACATAAATAATCATTAGGATCATGGGCGGGGGTTATTTTAACAGCACCAGTACCAAAATCCATTTATACTAATTCTGCATCTGCTATAACTATTAATTTTCTTTCAGGAATAAAAGGATGAATTAATTCTTTTCCAATTAAATGTTAATATCTTTTATCATCTGGATGAACAGCTATAAAAAAAAATTTATATACAAATTTAAATAAATAGATATAATTAGATATATACATAATATGTATAAATATAAATAACTATATTTATATTTATAATATTTTATTTATGTATTTTTATTTATATTTATATATTACCGACTGCAACATCTCCTAGCATTGTCTCAATACGAGTTGTGGCTACAATAATCTCTTATGAAGGATTTTCTTTTATTTTGTAAGAAAAATGTATTAGAACACCAAATTCGTATTTTCCAGTGTGTCCAGGTATTGCTTTAAGTATAGGTTCTTCGATTTTCTCGTGTGTTACTTCAACGTCACTTATGGCTGTTTTTAGAGCACACGACCAATTTACTAATCTATTAGATCTATAAATTAATCCTTTTTCGGAAAGTCGGACGAATGCTTCTTTTACGGCTATACTTAATTAATCATCCATTGTGAAATGGAATCTATCCCAATCTAAACTACTTCCGACTTTTCTTAATTAATTTGTAATTACATTTCCGTGTCTAATATATTTATATATATATATATATATATGTTTAAATTTTTTTTTTTTTTATTACTTTTCTTTCCAAGTCCATATTTTTTAGACAAAAGCATCTCTTCCAATATCATGTCTTGTTTTTCCTTCTTCTTTCATCAATTGTTTTTCTACAACTGTATGTGTGGCAATTCCTGCGTGATCAACTCCCGGAAGATATAAAGTCTCGTATCCTTGCATTCTTTTTCTTCTAATAATACTATCTTCAACTGCTGAGGTCAATCCATGACCTATATGTAGATAACCAGTTACATTTGGGGGAGGAATAACCATTGCATATGCCTTTTTGGAACTGTTAAGAACGTTTTAGGGGTTTGCATGGAAGAACTTTTAGTTTTCCCAGTATTTCATCCAGTTTTATTCTACTGTTTTTGGCTCGTAGGCCTTTAACATATCTTCGTATTTACGCTTTTGGGCTATGGCTTGTTCTAATGGTTGTTCTTATATAGGTTTTTGAGTTTGATTATCTGCTGTTTTCATATAAGAAGCTACTTTTTTGGTATTTGTAGATTATTGTTTTGAAAGTTAATAGTTCTTTTAGTTTTTTTTTTGTTTTATTAGATTTTTTTTATTTTACTTTGTTTAAAGTTGAAAAATATTTAAATAATTGTATTCTGTTCATGTCTTCTTATGAAAAAATATCCATTTTTGTTTTTTTTATTTTATTTTTTTTCGAAATTTTTGAGGATATCGATTTTTTTTTTTTTTTGTTAGTAATAAAATTATAATAATTATTTATATTAAAAAAAAAAAATTATAAAGATTTTTTTTTTTATTAATTATTAAGATTATTATTTTTTTAGTAATTTATTATTATATATATTTATACACGTATTTTTGTATTTTATATTTATTTTTTAATATTCTTTTCTTTTTTTAACTTAATTTTATTTTATAATAAATAAAAATTTAATAAATAATATTTATTACATTCTTAATTTTAAATAAATAAAATAATTATTTTTTATATATATATTTATATATATATATCGAATTTCAGATTAAAAAGTCTAAAGAATTTTTATATCTTTTAATATTAAAATTATTTGCAGTTATATCCAAAGAATAAAGTCTTTATTTAACATTTTTCTATGTAGTAAAATTCTATTATTTAGTATAATAATTTTATAAAAATTCTAATTGATTTTTGATTTTATCTTTATTATTTTAAAAAATGGAAGATTTTTATAATTTTGGGCTTTTTGATTAAGAACTATATTATATATTTGTATTTAAACGTTAAGTAAAGTTATAACTTTTAATTTAATAAAATAATTGTCTAGTCTATTTATTTTATTTTAACTATAACTACTCACTTTGTTTTAAAATATTTTTATTAATATATTATTAAGCTTATAATTTTTACTAAGAGATATTTCCATCACTTTTTAAATTTTTTAATTTTTATTTTTTATATTAAAATAAACACTTTATTTTTTTTATATTCTTTTTTAATTTTATTTTTGTAAAAATCTAAAAGAGAGTCTTTTGCTAATTCCATTTCTTTTTTAGAAATATTCTTTTTTTCAAGTTAGTTTTCTTGAGTATTTTGTTATATATTTTGGTTTTTATCGTTTTAAATTAAACAGATTCTTTTATTTAAAAAGGCTCTTTTCTCTTCTGCTATTTCTAAAATCGATTTATACATAATAGAGTCTTTTCCCATTAAAAAAAGAGTTATTTTTTTCGAAATAATCATGACTTCTCCTTAATTTGATAAACAAGTCGCTGTATATTTTCTTTTATTTACTTATTATTATGTGTATTCATTTATATTATTATCTTATATAATATTTTCAAGTCCAAAAAATTAATTAATTTATAAAATAGAAATTCTTATAGTAAATTTTTTTTTTTTTCGCAATTTTTATTTAAGACAAATTCTCCTTATTTAATAATACACCTTTTCAAATAAAAAAATACATATATAAATCTAAATATATATATTTTTTTAAATAAAAAAAAAAAAAAAAAAAAAAAAAAAACCAAAAATCAGCATTATCATAGTCTTCCAAAAAAACATTTTAATTAATTTAAAAAGTCTTATATTTTATATTTTGGACCATATATTTTAATGTTTCGAAATCCCAGTTTTTTAAGAAATCTATTTTAGATAAAACGTAGACTTCTTTATTTATTTATTTATCTTTATTACTATTTAATATTTTCTGAAAATTTTTATATTCAAGAAACCCACAAATAGTTTCTTCTAGAGCAATATAGTACTAATTACAGAAATTATTTTAGATAAATTCGGCATTTGGAAATGATATAAGTCCATTTTCGTATTCGTTTTGTAAAATACTAAATTAACCTTGGTTATTTTCTTTGAATTTTGTTTAATTATATTCTAATGGTTCTTAATCTTTCATTATACCTATTTTACCCTTAAATACTATATATAGAATATGAACTTTTTAATCTATATATATTTATATGTTAAAAAATACATAAATATATATGCACTTTAAGAATATATAATTTCATTTGGTCTAAAACAACTAAATTTAATGTATTTGCAACATTCTAAATGAACTTCATGGCCAATTTGGCGTGTATATTAAGTAAAAAATTAGGTCTATTTAGTTATTTTATATAATGTTTATATTTCGTCCTCATTTCGATTTTTAATGTGAATTTTTAATATTTATTATGTACACTATATATAAATAAATATGAATTTATATATAAAAGAATAAAAGAGCATATATACATATATATTTATATTTATATATATATATATTATTTTTTCATACTTTATTTATTATGTTACTATTTAAATATAGAAAAATTTAATGTTTTCGTTATAATTGGCTTTATTCTTGCTATTATTCACAAGTTTGAGTGGTTACTTTTACTGAATTTAGTTCTTTTAGCTGTTTTAATTTATTTATTAGTAACTTTTTTATTTACATTTTTAAGTTGTTTAAATATATGTATATATATATATATATATATAGGTCAATTTTCTTTAATTGATTTTTTTAAATAAATAATGTTTAATTATATAGTTGAGATTTTAATTATTTATTTTATTTATTAAATATTTACATTTATATTTAGATATATATATATATACGTTCAAATTTATTTAAAAAATAAATATAAAATACCATATACATGTTATTTTTTTTTTATTTACTATAAAATAAAAAGTTAAAATAAAAAACATCTAAAATATTTATTTTTTAATTAATAAACAAAATTATAGATATATAGAAAAAAAGAAAAGAAAAGCATGTCTTAATAAACACTCCGATTTGGTCAAATAATATAATTTTGTATAACTGAATTTGAAGAAAATAAAGGACTAATATATTCCAAAGGCTTTACTGAGCCAAGTTTAAACTTTATAAAATCCCAAAATATTGATGAAATATATAATTATAGGGAATCTCTTTTTCGAATTCTTCCCAATGTGGATTTCTAAGCACATGATAAGTATAAAAAATGCTCCTCCGATTAAAAAAATATGTATAAGGAAAGATTAGAAAGAGAGAATTTTTATTTTTAATAAAAAAAATAATAAGAATATGGATAAAATGTACTTTTAGGAAGTAAAGTTATATTCTAACACTTAGATTCGGGTTTTTTTATTAGCGGAAGTTATAATTGTAGAAGTAGAAATGGATATAGTGTTGAATTAATAGAAGAAATATCAAGTATGTGTATTTATAAATTGGAAAATTATAATAGTTATGATAAAGAGGGCGATTGTATTTTTTTCGGATAATAAATATGTATAAAAAATGATAAAACAGAGAGGTTTTAGATATTAATTTGGAAAGATTTTATCCTTTTGTGCATTTTTAGAATAATTAAAACCCTTTTTTAAATATAAGAAAACCTATATGTGATGATTAAAGGCATTTATGTATACTTTTAAGGGAAAAAGAATGTTCTTTTAGTTTAAAATTAAATGAAGATTATGTTTATTATATATATATATAATAGGCATATTTTTTATTATTGTTATTTTATAGGAAGATGAAGATGTTATTTATAATAATGATTTAGTTTATATTTTTCATAATAAAACAAATGGGTAAGTAGGAAAAGGTATTATAGATGATAATATTTATATTTATGAGGAAAGAAATAATAATAATAACTTTTTATATGATTAAATTTTTTAAATAAATTGGAATTTAGATTGTTAAAATAATCGATAAATTAAATTAAGGCATTTTTTAAGCGGAAAAAGTGCTTAAATTATATAAGATAAACTAGTATTATAGGAAAAGAAAGGTCAGTTTTTGAATGTAGAGATTTTGAAATAAAATAAAGAAGAAAAGAAATTAAACAAAGTAACATATATATAATTCTGGGATTAAAATAGAGAAAAATAATTAAATTAAATATAAAAAAATGATAATAATAATAATAATAAAAATAATAATAATAAAAATAATAATAATAATAATAATAATAATAATGAATAATTTTTACCAGAATTTAATTCCAATATAATTTTCGAGAGATTAAAGCATTAAAAAGAATTTATTTTTTAAATAAATGAATGCCATTTTATAAATAAAAAAAGTCGACATGGATTTAGATTTGAAAAAATTTCTGAAACATAAAAAAATATATCTTATTTGCTCTTTCTACTTAAGAACTTTTATTTTGTTTTTGGAGTTATTTAAAGGAAAAAAGTATTTTTTCAATAAATTTTTTTCAAATAATTTCAAGATTGAATTCTTTGAAAAACTTTTTGTAAGAAAACAATGAATAAAAATAGCTTATATTGAAAGATATAGGAATATTTTTATTACTAGTTTTAATAATTAAGGAAATAATCGAGAATAGAGACTATAAAGAAGAAGAAAAATTACAAATATTACAAATTATATACGAGATATTGGAAAAAGGAATTGAAAATAACGAAAAAATAATAGAAAATTTAATTGAAAATCTAGAGTTGTTTATTTTTAATGCTCTTTTCGTATTAAAAAACGAGGGCTTTGTCGAAAAGCTTATAATTGAGCTTTTAAAAAACGAGAAAAGTGCAAAAAAAATCGACTAGAAGGCAATTTAGACTATAATTTAATTGATTTATTTAAAAAAGGAAAAACCGCATAAAATATAGTGTAAAATTTTGCAGTGTTTTTTGTGGAATTTATAAAATTAAAATGCACTTTTGGAAGCTTTTTTTTAAAAAAAAAATTAGTTTTTTTAAAACTTTCATTTCAAGTTTAAAATTAAGGAAAAAATACGAAAAAAATTATGGTTTTTAACCCTAGTTTTGGATGGATTTCCATAAAAAAAATATATTTTTTGGCTTAATAAGATGTCTCTTTTGAATATTTTTTGGCTTATGTAGATTTATTGGCCAGTTTATGTAAAAATTAAAACAAATAGGGTAAATATATATTGATTAATAAATTAATATCAATATACTGATAAAATTATTACATGATAAACATATTAAAAAATCAAATAAACGTATTCCGTTCCTAAATTTGCTTATTTATGCGTTTTTAGACTGTAAATAATCTTGCAATATACCACAAATGATGAAAGTAAGAGAATGGAATAATATTGATTATGTTTCAGACATGAATATTTCGGATAATGTTGAATTTATTGATAGTTTAAAAGAAGTAAAAAAGTTTATTAAGAAATTTATAAAGGAAGAATTTTAAGGTTTTTATACTAATAATAAATTTATAATTGAGGAGTTTTATAAAGTTTTAGAATTATTTTAGTATTAAAAAAATATATATATATATATATAATTATTAATTTATATATGTTATTATATATATATATAAATATTCATTTATATTTTTATATTTATAAATTATGTAATTATATTATATCTATTTCTCATTTTATATATTATTATAAATAGAAAAAGTATTGAAAAAGGTATATGGAAAAATAGTTATAAATTAGATGAAATATTACCAGAAATTGTAAAAATATTAATTAATTATACTGATACTGATAAAAATTTAAGTAAAATATAATATTTATATATATTTAAATATATATAAATATAATATTATATATATATTATATATATATATATATCTATATTTATTTATTACTTACATATAGGCAATGAAAAACGAAAAGAAGCCGTATTGTATTCTTTGGAAAGAAATATATAAAAAAGTGAGGAGATAATCGAAAAATGTAAATAGAAAATAAGCCATATAATCCAACTTTATATCGAGATTCATACTAATATACGTGTTAGCGATGTCTTATATTATTTAAAATAATTAATGGTAGATAAAGAGAAATAGAAAAGTCCAAAAAAATAGATATTGAAGGACAAATATAGATAGATGAGATATAGTTCTAAGTTTTATTCACATACATTTACTATTTTTGATGAAATAATTAAAAAGACTAAACAATATTAAGATGTATAGGACGAGAAAATATGCTAGAGTGAAATTTGGATTGAAAACTTTTTAAAAATTATAGAAAAAGACGATAAAATTTTTGGTTTTAAATTATATGAATTTTCACTCGTTTTATTTGAGTTAATTATTGTTTTAAATAATAATGAAATTTTTAAACTTTTATTATTCATTTTGTACTCTATTTTTACTTAAAGATAAAAACTACTTGAAAATGTATAGAAAATTATACTCTTTGAAAATGGATTACCTAAATAAATTACATAGTCTATTGGCTATTTTAAATATAAATTACATATTTTATCAAACAAAAGTATACTTATGGCTAATTTAGATAATTAAGGAATACTTTTTGATTATTTTATATCTAAAAGTGATAAAGATTATACTATTTCGCCACTTTCTTAGGCTATTATTTCTAGTTAGAGTCTTAATTAATTAAATAAATACGAATAGATCAGTCCTTTAAGCATATTGCCGAAAAAAGTGATTAATTATGAGAATATAGAAAGTAGTAATAAGATAGATTAAAAGCAAAGTAAATAAAATTATTTTAAAGAAAATTAGAATAACAAATAGTATTAATATATAAATCAATAAAATAATATAAATAACAATATAAGTGAATAAGATAAATTAGATATAAATAATAATAATTTAAATAATAACGAAATCATATATAATAGATTAAATTCTAGAAATATAAAAAATAAATATAAATCCAATACTTGTTTTCTATTTGAAGAAGATTTAAACTATTAAATAAGTCCTATAAAAAAGGTCCTTTTTTAAAAAGAAGCAGAAGATATTAAAAAAGATACTAACTTATAACAATAAAAAGAATTAGATAATTATAATTTAATAAAAACTTAAATTAATGGCAATAATAATTAAAAATATAGTAATAATAAATAAATACCAAAAAATAATCATAATTTACATAATAAAATGAAATAAGATAATTCATAAATATATAGAAGTTTTAATAATAAAAATCTAAATTAATCTATTGCCGATTAATTCGGAATTATTTAAGATTTATATTTTTATTCATAGACTATGAAGAAAGGGTTTTAATTAACAAATTTTAAATTTAGTTTATAAAAAATAGACAAGGAAATATTAAATTCCGATAAAATAATAAATTTTTATAATGAAAGGGAAAAAAATAATATTCTTATTTAAAATTTACTACGTTCTCATGATTTACATTTACCTTTAATTAATTTTCTTTAATTTTGCAAATGTGAAGATTTTTAAAATAATCCACTCCTTTTTTCATTAATTTAAACAGTTTATAATTATTTATGTTTGCTTATATGGAATAATTACGAGTCTTAACTAGAAATTATACCCAAATGTAAGTTTTTAGCACAATAGCATCTCTTTTTTAATACTGGAGCAATAGAATTTTTACTTGATTTATATAAAAACGTCAAATTTTTGCTTTTAAATGCTTCCGAAATTAACTAGACGGCTTCCTTTATATTAAATATAGCTAAAAATGCCAAGACACCTTTATTTTATAAATCTAAATTGGTTTATTTTCTGAAAACTCTAGTAGTTTTGAATAATAATCCTTTAAAATAAAATTAAATTACAATCCTTTAATTGATTTAAGAAAAGCAATTCTAAGACTATATTTTTATTAATGAAAGAAAAAAAATAATCCCCGAATTTTATAACGAAGACTAAAATCTGATAAAAACAAACGGACAAATTTGGTATTTTTATGCCTTTTTTGTACTTTCTACTTTTCTCATAGAAGGAAAAAACAAACTCAATTTAAACAAATTTAGAGGCATATATAATAGTGAGTATTTATTGGAAATATATAGTGAAATTAAAGAGTGTATTTTATTAAAAAAATGTCTCCGAAGTTTCATAAATAGGCTTTTTTATATAGATTTTGATAATTTAGGGGATAAAGAGAGTGTTTTTTGGGACTTTTTAAGAGTTGATTTATAATTTATTATTGAGGAATTGGAGAAAAGTAGGGAAGTTTGGTAAAAAAAGGAGATTTTTTTAAAAAAAGAATTCGATTTTTATATTGAATATAAGTTTTTTTGGAGTTATTTTTGTATTTTTTTAAAGGAAAATATTTTGGCCATTTTCTTTTTGGTTTAAAATGAGGAATTTTTGAATATTTTAATAGAAAATTTGGAAAAAAATGCCAAAAAAAAACAGTTTTTTGCACATAATTTACTTCTTAGGCTTTTTGGGGAAATTTAGAGTCTACATTTTGGACTGTTTTTTAATTTGGAAAATTAAATTAAATATATTAAGGATGTTTTTTTAAATAGAATTTTTTCCTAAAAATAAGCCTTCCCTTTTGAAGCTTTTTGGAGAAATGAAAATCTAATAATAAAAGGCGTTTTAGATGAAAAAATTCAAGTAAATATAAGAAATTTAATATTGGAAGCTTCTCGAGATTGTAAATAGGAAGATTTTTGTATTTAAAATTGTTTAAAAGTACTTTTTTTGGAAAATGATGATAATTAATAAAAAGATTTTTCTTAATATAAGAAATAAACGGCTAAAGAAAGTAATAAAAATAAGGATTTAAATAAATATCTTAACAAAAAATTAAAAAATTTAACTTCCTATTTAAAATATGAAATAAGCTTTGTCTAATTTCTTGAAAAGTATAAAATTATATTTATATTATTATTTTAATAAACAATATAGGGAATAAAGTTAATTATTTGATACTATTAAAAATCTAGAAGATACTAGTAAAGTTTTTTACAATTCAAATATTCCTATATTAAATTCCGATATTTTAATAAAAAACATAATCAAATTTGCTATAAATAATCCCAATTTATAAGATAATTTACATATTTTTTATTTATAATTATTGATTAAATAAATAACTGAGAAGAATAAAAATGAATAATAAGTAAATATATATGTATATATATACATATTTATATTTATATTTTTAGTCTACTTCATAAATTACTATTGATTTATGGGATATACATTATTGGATTTAATATTAAAAAGAAATTGAAGAAACTTAAAATAAAATGCAATCTTTTCAATCTGCAAGGCTTATCTGTGAACTTTTAAAATAGAAAAATCTTGAATAAAGGCTTAAATTAATTAATGAGATTTTACTTTTTGGAATTAGTTAATTATTAGGAGGGAATTAGAATGTCTAAAAAGATTTATTACATATTTTAAAGGAAGATCGGGATAATTTGATACTTTAGAACATAAATAATTTAATATAGAGGCTTTCGAAGGTAATATATAGGATTTCAAAAGAAGAAATCAAGCTATAGCAATTTACTAAAGAAGCTTAGTAATAAAACAATCTATTGATAATATAAAACTATGACTTTTTTTGTGAAAAAAGTTACAATATGATTCGAAAAAATACAGGTCTTTAAGATTCTTGTGACGAATTGTATTTTTTTAGTCAATGTTTGACAATTTTATAGGGAATTTTTAAGTTTTTATAATTAATGTGTGAAAATAATAATATAGAAATGAAAAATTATTTAAGGCAATAAATAAATTTAGATAATAAATTAAAAGTAAAAAACTTTAATTTTATAAATATTTCGAATCAAATTAATTAATTGTTTATCAAAATAATGAATAAAGTAAAATATAAAATAATAATAAATGTATAAATATATAAAAAAATATATAAATTATGTATAAATATATATATATATATATATATATATATATATATTTATTTAATATTTATATATAATTAGGATTTAATTACTATTCCTAATTTTATTATTGATTTTCTTATTGAAGTTACTCAAGTACCTTGCATTTAAAATTAGCTTTCTTTATCTTAAACTACTTTTTACGAAGATATTTTTATTATGGCTTAGTTTTTTAATGTCATTATATATATTATTATTAATTTTAAATATAAATATAGATATAATAAAATAATGTAAATAGATTTTTTATTATAGATGAAGATATTGATTAATTATATTATTTTTATAATAAAGTATTAAAAAAAATTTTAAATGTTTATAATTTCATATATATATATGTATAAATATATAGGTAATTATTAGTGTTTTAGTAGTTTTAGAAAGCCTTAATTAATAAATATATAATGAAATAAAAAATAAACTATAAATAGACTTTTTAGTAATAATTATACAGAGGAATTTACAAAAACTAAATTTAAAAACTCTTTCTTAATTAAAAAAATACCTTTATAGAAAAAATAAAGAAACTGGCTTTTATGATTAACATATTACTGAAATATTAAACAATTTGACTATAATAAAAAGATTTTCGGAATATGATATATAAATAAACTAGATTTTTCATCAAAAATTATCGTCTAGTTATTCCGAAATGATTTTTTATTTAGAAAAGAAAATTGTTTCAATAGAAATACAATACTAAAAGGAACTTAAGTAGTTATATTTCCCCTTTATTCCTTTATTTAACTTTGTGTCAGATGATACGAAAGACAAAATAATGAAAAATGTCAATAGAGAAAGCTAAAGAGAGAAAATAACCGATCTTTTATAATATAAAAATGTCGTCTTTGACGAAATAGAACATAATTTTAGCCTTAATTAAAACAAAATAAGGGCTACTTCTGAAAATATTTAACAAATATAAAAGCTTGTAGTATACATGAGCCTTTTTTTGAATTTATTATTAATTTTATCAGTTAATATTTAATTCGAAAATTTATAAGAAATGAAAATTGTAATAAATAACTATTTAATAAAAATTTTTATAGGAATATTATTTATTATACACCTTATATTGACTCTTTTATTAATTTTATTCACATTCATTAACTAGGTTCCACCAAAAAATGCAAAAATAAACACTCATTGGTCAAAAATAAAACTATTTTATTAAAATGATTAATTTACATTTCTTTCCATATTGCTATCAGCCAGTGTTTTAGGAAATTTAATTCATATAAAATATTAAGTCCTTACATTACCATATGCTATAGTAATTAAATATATTTAAACATATAAAAATATATAAATATATATATAAATATATATATTTAAATATATATTTATATATATATATATATATATATATTATTTATATATTTATATATATTAATAGAGTAAACTAAAATCATCTTAAGGAATAGTTGAAAACGTTTACTAGTCTATATTTTATAAGATGAAGTAATTGATTATTTTTAGTGTATTAGGAATAATGTTTGTGTATATTTTTAGTGTTATTGCATTTGAAAATTATATAAATGAGATTTATAAAGATTTATAAGTTATATAGAATAGATAGACTTGTAATTCATTAATTTTTTGTATGATGACTTTAAGTCTTTCAGATGTAATAGGTAGCTCAATGAGTGATTGGGATACATCAACATTTGTATATAATTCATTGTATTTTGTATTCATAAGTGTACTTTTTATGAACATTGTAAGTGGGATAATGATTGATACTTTTGCAGAAATGAGAGATAAAAGAAATTTTATTGAATAAGATAAAAAAAATAAATGCTTTATTTGTGGATTAGAAAGAACAACAGTATATATATAAAATAAATAAAAATAAAAAAAATAATAATAAATTTATATATTATAATTATATATAAATATATATATATATATATATATATATATTCATATTTATCATATATACTATTAAATTAGATTGAAAATCAAGACAAAAGTTTTGAAGATCATACTAAAAAACATTATTTATGGAATTATATTTTTTATATTTATAGTTTATAAAATAAAGATAGTACTGAATATACAGGATTAGAATATTTTATATCGGATAAATTATAAAATGAAGATATATAATGGATACCTAATTTAACTAGTCTTAACAATTGAATTTTATTATTTTTTAATTATTTTTAAATATATATAGATGTTTTTTTTTATAAAAATTTAATTTCTTAATAATTATTTATATAAAATATTCTAATTATAATAAAAGTATTTAAATTTATAATATACATATATATAAATATAAATTAAAGATATTATATTTTAAATTTATTTATATAATTCCTTTTTATATATATACTTTTATATATTTAAATAGATAATAGTCATTTATTTAATATATTCTTTTAATCGTATCATTAAAATACATTTATTGATAAGTATTTTTCCATATAATCCTTAACTTATTTAAATATATGTTTTTTTATAAACTTTTTAAAAAATTCTTTCTTACCTTATATAATAGCTTCTTATAATAAAATTGATAGTAGATCTACTTTAGTTTATATTTTTGTTACTTTCATTTACTTTTTTATTGATAAATAATATAAATACTTTCTATAATATTATTTATTAGTTGTTAAATTAGTATTTTTTTTAAAAAAAATATTATTAATTATTTAAGAAATTTCACTCAAACAATAAAGCTGTTTTCCAAACAAACTTTCATATTTAAAATCATATTTTTTAGTAAAATAGAAAAGGCAATTTATATTTTATTGTTTTTATTTCCAAATATCCTTTATAAGCTTCTTTTTTATAATATTATAAGGGAAAACATCATTTAAAAAAAAAAAAAAAAATTTTTAATAGTAAAATAAATAATAGTCTTAAATAAGATTATTAATCGTTTTCAATAATTCCTTCTTATATGAAATTATATAATTGATCTTAAAAAGAAGAATATAAGCCAAAGTACTTATTATACTCACATACATTAATTAAAATAATAAATTAAATTATACTTAATTATTTTACTTTATAGTATGGCTTTTTAATTTTTAAAGTATTTCAGAATTATTTTATTAAAAAAAAAAAAAAATCAATCATATTGCTTTATAAATATATTGATTAATATTCAAAATAAGAATAAAAGAAAGAATAAAATTTTTAAATAATTAATAATATAATTAAAACTACAATAAAATAAATTAAATTTAAATCATAGTTTAAGGATTAAATAATATTAATATATTTAGATAGATTTTTTTAACTTATTAATTATAAAAATATTTAAAAAAAAAAAAATATTTATTAAAAAGATAAAAACAATATTAATGGAGGTTAGGATTATTTTAAAAAGAATATAGTTATTATATAAATATATAAATATATATATATATATATATATATATATATATTATATTATTTTATAATTATTATTTTTAATTTTAATATCTTTATATCTTTTTTACAATATATAATATACTATAAATACTATTTAATAATTGAAATTACATATTTTATTTTTTATTTTAAAAAAATAAATAATATAGTTTATAAAAATATATTAAATCTTAATTTAATTATATTTCAATTTATTTTTAAAATAATAAATATATATATATTTATAAATATCATTAGAAAACATGTGAAACTACTTAATTATCAGAACCCCCACTAACAATCATATTTTCTCCTTTTTTTTTTATAAATAAAAATAAAATAAATAAATATAACTAAAAAAATTATAAATAATATAAATACCATTCCAAACAGCTCCAAGTACTTTATCATGATGTGTTTTGATATTAAATAATGGAAAACTAGACCTTTAATCCCAAATCCTTACGCTATGATCATAGCCTGCTGACAAAAACAAATTAGTATTACTTTACAATGCCTAAATATCACTAATCCAACTTTAATGAGCTTTAAAAACCCTCTAAGTAGTAGTTTTTTCCCTGAAATCAATTTATTTTATCTACCCATCTTCTTATCCTACTAGGGCGTTATTTTGTAAAGGGAAAAGAGCAGTAACAGCTGAATTTTTCATATTAAAAATGGCTGATTCCGATTATTTATTTGTATCATAAATTTTTACTGAATGATCAAAAGAACCAGAAATTATTTATTCAAAATCTTTCCAAAAAATAGTACTAATGCAATCACTATGTAAATTTAATTTACTCAAAGGCTCAATTTATTTTTTGTTTAATTTAATTTTCTTATTCCTTTTTTCATCTATAGAATTCTAATATGAAGATTCTTAGAGTATTTTTGCATTCATTTCATATATATATACACCTCCATTATAATTACCAGTCACTATATGTGAGTTTTTTAATGTATTTAGATCTAAAGATTCTATAGATGAATCATTTTCAGATAAATCAGCTAGTTCTTGGTAAATACAGCCATTTTTTTAATATAATAAGGTCCCTATACGTACTTTTTCATCTAAACAGGCTGAATATATTAAATATTCTTTATCTTTTTAGGATATATAGCTGTTTTATATATATATATATATATATATATATGTACCATTATAAATTTATTTATAATGTTTTTTACTTAGGTTATACTTAAATAGCCTTTATTGTTTAATCAGTTATTTAATGGTTTTGTATTTTTTTTAATTATTAGTTATAAATAGATATACTGCCATTATATAAAGAAACAACTATTGGACTTGCTTTTTAGGCATTATATGTATTTAATAAAGATAAATCACTAATCCAGTCTTCTTCAGAATTATCATTTTGCTTTTAAGGTGCTGATAAACTTAATGTATACCATATTTAAATTGTTTCTTCAGAAAAAATGTTGTTTTTTAATAAATGACTTATATAAATATAATAAAAATATTTAAATAAATATATATATTAATTTATATATATATATTTATATATTTATATATATATTTATATATATATATATATTCTTTACGAATTTTACTGTTCCTCGTAAAAAATCATCATTTATTAAAAAATCAAAAGATATATTTTAATATTTTTCGTTATCTTATTATTTTTCTTATTTTAATAACTAAAGGAGAGTCTTTTTTATTTATTATATATTATATTTTTTGTTTTTTATTTACTTCTGTTAGGTCTTTTTCGTTAAAATGCGAAGGTATGTTTATACGTGTTTCTTCTGTTTTATATTCGGAAGGTAAATTTGTTTTAAAAACACAAAAAATTTCACTTTAATGATTATTTTATTGTTATTACATTTTTTATTATAATTAAATGTATATTAGTTTTTTATTTTTAGCTTTTTTTTAATTTATTTTTAGATTATATTTATTGAGTATTTTTTATTTTATTAGAAATAATATTATTATTACAGAAATTAGTAGAATATGTTTTTTTAAAATACAAATTCTATATATATATATATAAAATTAAATATATTTTATGCTAATTAATATATGTATAAAAAAATATAAGAATAAAAATTTAATTTAAATTATAATGATAAATTATATTCATTCGAAAAATTCTCTATAACAATTAACAAGCATTTAAGAAAAAGCTTCATTTTCTAAAAAATGAATATGAGCAGCTCTCCCAATAATTTTATCAAATGAACTTATTTTATATATATATATATATATGTATTTAAATTATTATTATTTAATATTTTTTACTTACTCAATTTAAAATTAACATCTATTCTATAAATTTTATTACATTTAAATGTTCTATATATATTTTAAGCCATTTAATTTATTTGTTAACTTAAAATTAATAAATAAATATTTTATATAAAAAAAAAGTATATAAGATATATATAAATACATATATATATTTATATTTAATAATTTTTTATATATACTTTCCATCTTTCTCAACTATAATTTTAGCTGATTATTAAGTAACATATTAATCTTCATAACTAGTAATAAACATGACATTAACAAACTAATTTAATCCTTATTCTAGACTTAATTTATATATAAAACAGTCTTCTATTTTATAATTGTCTTTTAATAAGAGTTATAATAAGCTATCACTTTTATTAATTTTTTACATAAGCCACATTCCAGTATCTATTAAACTATTATTATTATAATAACACCCTAAATGTGGTGTACAAATAGATACATATGAATACATAATATTTTAAAACTCTTTTAAATAAACTAAAGCTGCCCTAACAATAACCCCTCCCATAGAATGTCCTATAAATGAGATTTTATTAAGACATTTAATATTTCTTTTTTTATATAAAATTTAATTTCCTATGCTAAGTTTCTGCCTAATAAATCTAAATCTTTTTCTGTTTATTACTCATTTATTTTAGATGACATACAATATATATCTGGATATTAACTACATATAATATTTCTTATAATTCTCATATCATATGAACTACCTTTAAATCCATGACATAATATTATTATATGATTTCCTATATTATATTAATATTTATATATTTTATATATATAAACCTATTTTTTATTAAATGCAATTTATATTTTATTTATTTATATTATTTTATATATTAGAGTATATTTCTTCGAAAAAAATAGGATGAATATCTATTTTAGGGAACATATTTATATTTTCTACTCGGAGTTATTTTAAATTTGAAAAGTCATAATTTTTTCTCTATTTAGACGCTATAAGTTGGTTTTATTTCGAAAAATCTTACTTTAAAGTGAATAAATTATCCACTTTATGTCTTTTTCGGAAGATATTCTACATCCATTTTTCATATATAGCCATATTATACTATTTTTGATAGTTTTTTAGTATTTTAAAGTGATTAATTTATAAATAATCAAGTATTTTTTGCCAAAAAAAATACAAATCTTTCTATATAGACATCATTTCTTATCTAATTTGGCAAGTGAAAAAAACTTCATCTTTCATATTGAATTCTTATTGATTTTAAAGCAGAAAAAGAGTGTTTTTTTTAATGAAATTTTCCTCTAAAATCTCTTCTTCTTTTTAACAATTTTTTTATGATATTTTTTTAAAAAAGCGCATTATTTTTTATAAATTTTTTTTTTGAAATTCCACGAAAATCTCATAGAAAACCAAAAGTGGATTTTTAGAAAAATTCTCTTCTAAAAATTTATGTAAATTATAATAAGAATTCTCACAAAAAGCCTAATCTTTAAAATTAAAAGCTAATAGTGCACCATGTAAGCTACTTTATAGAATGCAACAGTTATTTTTATCAAAAAATACCTATATATATTCAAAAAAGAACTCTGAAGCCCTTCTTATGATACATTTACACTCACTTTTTTTCTAAAAACTCATATTTTATCCAATATTTTCTTATTTTGGAGCTATATGGGAGTAGAGGTCGAATTAAATGTAAAATTCGGTACTTTAAAATTATATATTGGCATTTTATTCTATCTAAAAAACACACATTTCATTTAATTAGACCTCTTCTTCGCAATATTTTATCCGAAATTTCTTTGTTTAGTATATATTGTTAATTATTAACCCAGTAGGTTATTATAATGTATTTTTTTTTTATGTTTATAAATTATTTATTTATTTAATTTAAATTGGATTTGCTATATATGTCTATTATTAGTTTTATTATTTAGAAAATATTTAGATTTCTAAATAGTAGACTCCTTAATCAAATAAATCAATATTCCTAAAACTTTCTAAATATATACAAAATTCATATATGGCGTTAAATGACATTATGTTTTTATATAAATATATAAATATATATATATTATTTTTTATTTTTATTTTATTTTTTTTATATATTTATAAATTTATATGTATTATTAAATATATATATATATATATATATATTATTTTTATTTTTACGAATTTTATATTTTGTTTATATAATATAGATTTATATTCTTAATTTAATTATAGATAAAATAATATTTAATATTTATTCCTATATAAATATAGCTATAATTTTAAAATAATATATAATCTATTATATTCAATTTATAATACTTTATATAATTTAATCTTTTGTTAAATTTTCACAAATAAATAAAAACTTGCTATTTTAACCATTTTTCCATAAAACATTACTTTTTTTGATTTCAAATATATCTTTTACACTTTAAAAAAATAATTTTAGATATAAATATATATATATATATATAAATATATATATATATATATATATTTTATTATAAATATATTACCCTTATAATTCATATATAAAATTATCATTTAAAATTTTTATAATTCCTTTAATTCTATGAATAAATATATTTTCTTATTCCCATACTAACTATCCAATTTTATTTTCCAAACTTTTAAAATCAAACTCATAGTCTAATTCGAAAAAAATCGATTTAATTTTATCACTTCCATGTTCGTGACTAACATTTTAATTTTTATTGAAAATATTATATATTTATTATTTCTTTTATTCCATCATATTGAAATTGTCAATATTAAAAATTTCATTTAAATCTACTGAACAAAATTAAGTTTATATCTAAATTGCTAAAGGATTTATTTTATATAACTCTTTTTAAATATAATCGATGTCATCTTTATTTGATTTGTCCTAAAAATAAATATATATTTATATATATATAATTTATATATATATATATATATATATATATATATATATATATATATGTATTATTACTATTTAATTAATTAAAATAGTATCAGCATATATTAATTGCTTTATAAATATATTGTCTTTTTTTAATTATTTAAATCTATATGCTGATAATACTGTATGTATAGATTTTAATTAAGCAGGGCTTTCTAAATTATCATCCACCCAAAAGTTTTTTATTGTCTATATAATATATTTTTATTAATTATTTATATTTTATCTAACTATAAATAATTACTTCAGAAGGATCAGCTAAACCATTAGTTTCAATTAAAATATAATCTAATTTATATTTTTCATCCTAAATTAAATATTCTATAGCATTTAATAAATCACCTCTTTTTTATATATAAAATAGATTAATATAAAATAAAAATTATATATATATATATTTTTCTATAAATATATATATAGATAAAATTATATATATATATATATATATATATTTATATATATATATATCTAATAATAATTTAAAATGAAAATAAATATATAAATATACATATTGATATATATATTTTTTTACTTTGCCGTGCAACATATACATCCGTTTGGCAATTCATAAAATTTATCAAATGGTTTTCCTTAAGAATCAGTCATTAATGGCGATTCTATTCCCATTTCTATATTATTATAAATATTTTATTGTATTTATATTATTAATTTTTTTACACATATATTTTTTATTTTATTATTAAACCATCCGAATATTCATTTTATACGACCGCAACTTTATATTATGTTTGATTTTTTAATATATATTGTATTAATGTTGTTTTTCCTGAACCCAAATAACCAGTTAATATTATTAATTGAGTTTTATTATACTAATTTTACATTATTTTTTTGTATTTTATATATATTATATTAAAAAATATCTTTTTTTAATATTTATTTAAATTAGAATAAAATCAATAACATATAAATATAAAAGAATAACAAAAATGTAAAAATAATAAATCCCTTAAAAACCTTAAAAGGTAATTAAACTTCCTATACCAGAAATAAATTTTTCCAAAATTCTAGGCTAAAAAAGCGGTTTACGTCCTTATCGTAAAGGCGGTGTTCGTATAGAAGAACAAAAAATCTAAAATAAACTTTTTTTCCATAATTATGGTTATGGAGGAGCTGGAATATCTATTTCTTATGGCTATACAAAACTTTTATTTGCCAAATTTGACACTAAATACTCCTCTGATATATAAAAAGAAGTCGCGATAATAGGAGCAGGCTACGCTGGTTTATATACAGCCATTGAATGTGCCAAAAGTGGGTATAAAGTGACTATATATGCTGATAATTTTGTCCATAATCACTAAAATACTCCCCAAGATTTACATTTATAGGCTAAACAATAAATTACTTCTTAAGTAGGGGCTGGTTTATGGTGTCCATTAACCTACGACTACGACAGTAGTGAAGAAATAAAAGAAAGACATAATTTATGTAGCCGAATTAGCTATGATTATTACAAGAATTTGATCTAAAGGGGAAGCCATAAAGGCATTTCTTTTAAAAAAATAATTACTGTAAATCATTTAGAAGGGAATAAAGATTATTCATATAAAAGAAATATTGTGAATGGCATTATAGATGATTATGAGGAAGTTTTAATCACTTTTAATGGCGTAGATATGGCTTAAGGGGAGATTTTTACTACTATATTAATTGAAGGAGATATTTTTTTAAATGAATTGGTAAATGAATGTAAAAAATATGGAGTTATATTTATTAATTAACATTTTGAAAGTCTTGATTAGATTATATAAATTATTCCTTAAAAATTTATTTTTAATTGTAGTTCAATGTCTTCTAGAAAGTTTTTTTAAGATGAAAATTTAGTACCAATTAAAGGATAATTAGTTGTTTTAGAAAAAATTAATAATGTAGATTTTTTCCTAAATATTATTGATAAAAAAGGAACAGAATTGTCTTTATATCCTAACTCAAATTATACACTTCTAGGATATGTTAAATTATATGATAGATGGGATAATTAACCAGAAAAATATATTGGGGATTTCTTAGTATAAAATATTAAATAGTATTTTTAGGAAGCTTAAAAAAAACAAAAATTTTGATAATTAATTAATTTATTTATATAGATATATAAATATATATATATATATATATATATATATATATATATATATATATATATTATTTTATTTTATTTTAATTTTAATTATTTTATTTTTTATTTTTTTATAATTCAATATATATTTTATTTCTATTAATAGAAATTTTAAATAATATAATATTTATAGTTAGGTATATCTTCTAATTTTACATTATTTTTTTAAATAGATTAATTATTAATTATAATTTTAGGTTAAACAAAGTTTTTTTCAATACACATAAATTTTTAACATTATAAAAGATAATTATTTTAATCGAAAAGTATTTTATTAATAATATTATTATTATTTTTAATTTCTTTATCATTATTATTATTATTATTATTATTATTATTATTATTATTATTATTATCTTTATTATAATCTTTATTATTATCATTTTTATTTATTTTATTTTAATTGATATTTATTATTTTATTGATATTTTATTTATATTAGTTTTAATATTAAAGTTTATCAGTAATTTTAAAAGGACTTTATTTTAGATTTATTTAATGTTTGCTGTTTAAACTTTAATTTTTATATATATATATTTTATCTCTGTATTTTTTATTATCATTATATAATTATTAATTATTTGTATAATATTCTTATGTTTTTAAATTATCATATTATGTAGATAATGAATTTTAGTATTCATACAATGATTTTTAAGTTATAATTTTTTGAAAATTTGATATTTTTACACTATTTAAATTTTATTTTTACGGAGATTTTAAAGAATTTAGTTTTTCATATATATCAGGGTTTTCATCTAAAATTATAGACCCCTCGTTTGAAAAGCTTTATTACTTTATTTTTATTTTATTTAAGTTAGCAAATGATTGTATTTATTAATTTGTATTTTTAATAATTAATTAATTTTAATGTTTAGGTGATTCTTATATTTATATAAATGGATTTGATCCTAAATTTATATTTAATATGCTCATTAATACAATTGTTTTTTTTATAAAAAATATGTTTTATTTTTATTAATTTAATATATTATAACTTCAGATTATATTAATAAATATTAATATTATAATTTATTTATTTTAAAACACGAGTATTTTTAAATTTAAAAAAAAAAAAAATTAAGTATTTATTATATAATTAAATATTTTATTTTTTTTGTTAATAATAAAATAATTTTTTAAAAAAATTTAAATAAAATAAAGTAATATATATAATTTAAAATAAACAAAAATAATATAATTATGATAATTATTTTAATTATATTTTTAAAATGATTGATATATATATTTATAATATATTAATTTTTCATATTAATGAATTTATTTTTAAATTACCTTAAGTAATTTTTAATTTTAATTATATATACTTCTTATAGAAATATAATAATTATTTTTTTATCATTTTATTATTTACTATATTAACTATAACTTTTAAATTTTTATTTTATTTATTATCTTTATTATTATAAATAACTACTATTGGCCTATTATTTTTGTTGTTTTATTAAATTTTGTATTATTTAATTTTATTTAACATGAATATTTAAGCATTTCTTATTTTCGAGGTCTTTAAAAGGAAATTTATTATTTTTATTTCGTTAATTTAATAAGTTAACTTTAGATTTATTTATTAATTTAACATTTTAAATATTTATTTACATTTTTTAGTTAATTTATAATTATAAATTTTATTTTTCATTAACAAAATCATAATTTAAATTATTGAATAAACTAGAATTTTATTCTTTCTTTTATTAAGAATTACAATAATTTAAATATTTATTTTATTATTTTTATTTTAAACTATAATTTTTATAATCTTTGTTATATTAACTAATACTTTTTACATTTTTAAATAATTTGTACTAAACTAAAGTACTAGTTCTTTCCTAAATTTTACCATTTTATTATTCAATGATAAAATTGAATAAATCTTTACTACTTCTACTATTATAAGAGTTATATTCTTTGTTAATTTTTAAATTAGAAATGTATTATTCTTTAAAAATTTAATCAACTAAATCTTATTATTATATTTGGAAATTATTAATTCTCATTTGTTTTTCAAAAATTGTATTTTTATTTAAATAATTCTAAAGAATACTATTAGCATCTTTATTTTTTTGAATTTTTTAAAAACTAAAATTTTTATAGTTTACTATTTTATTATATTTAAAATTTAAGCTTTATTATATCTTATTTTCCATAAAAAGCCTCTTTTCTTAAGCTTTTTCATAGAAAAGTTAATTTATATAATTACTTTCACTCAAAATATTCAAATAGTCCTTTATTTAAACTGCAAAAACCTTACATATACTTGAAATTACACAACTATTATATTAAAAAAAGCTTCTATTATAATTCTCGTTATTTTCATTTTTTTTTAATTCATAAAAACTATTACTTATTGATTTTTATTATTATTCATAAATATACTCGTTTCCCAATATTTCATATTGACCTTATATAGATATTTATGCTTTTATATTTGAACCTTTATTTTACTCTATTTCAATGTTTTTATAACACTAAACTTCTCCTTTATAAATAATATATATATTATTTATAAATTCGCCTTATTTTATTAAAAAATTTCCGTTTTAATATTTTTACTTTGTAAAATATTATTAAATCTTTGAATATTTTTCTTTATATTTATTACATTCTTTAATACCTATACTTTTGAATAAAAAATTCACTTTTTATACTATTTTTTAGCAGCTATATTATTCTAGTATTTAATTTACTTTTTGTAAATTAATGTGTAATAAAAAACAGTCTTGGTTACATATTAGAATTTATTTTATATATTTTTCTTAAATTAATATTAAATTTCCAAAATGATCGCCTTAAGTGTATAATTAACTATACTTAAATTTAAAATAATTACGAGAATTTGTAAAAAAATGAAGGTTTTCTTATAAATTTATATCCAAATCTTTATGTAAAATGGAAATTAATTTTTTAAATTTTAAATGGCTTTTATTTATTTATAAATCGAATTTCACATATATTAATTATTGTTTTATTCTTATTATTTTTTAGACTATTTTTTAAAAATGCCTTTTATTATTTTAATAATCTTAAGCCTTTAATCTATTATTCTTTTGTTCTTCTTTTATTTTTTAATATGTTTAATTCATTTAATTTATATTTTATATTTAATTTGTTAACCCTATAATTTATCCTTTTATAATAACATATAAGTCTTCTGGAATATCATTTTCTTAAAATAATATATCTCCTTAATTTATCAATTTTAATTCCATTATTTTACATATCTTTTTTGCTAAATTTTTCTTTTTGTATTTCTCGTTAGAATTTAATTTCTAAAAAAAACATAATTTACTTAGTAAAAATTCTAGTTAATTAATATCTTAATTTGTCTTTTCTTATTTATTCATTAATTCTAGTATATTTTCACAATTCATTTTATAAAAAATATTGAAATGTATAATGTTGGATAATATATTTTTTATTAAAAAAAAAAAAAAAAAAAATTTAAATAAAAAAAAAAAATGAATATTTTTTATAATTAAAATTAGTAAATGTTTTATAAAAATAATACATAATAATATATTAATTAATATATGATATTAGAAAATAATATATTAAATGGATATTATAAATTATATTATATTTTGAACTATACTTAAAAAAAATATAATATTTATACATATTTATTTTTATTCAGAATTGAAAAGGTCTATTCAAAAAACAAAAAAAACACAAAAAACACACACAAAAACATAAAAACATAAAAATTTATAATATTAACAAAAAAAAAAAATATAAAAAAATGGATTTTAATTAAATAAATGAAAAATTAGTTTAAATTATTTTATAAGAAATAATTAATGATGTTTTGTAAGCTTTTAATTAATAACCCTAAAAATAGCCATAAAATAATCATAAAAAAAACACATAAATATAATTCTTAGATTTAATATAAAAAAGTGAATATAACATTATAAGATAAATCCAATATATAAATAAAAAAACTAAAAACCCAATAAAAATGGTTCATTTATAAGTCCATAAATAACATGTTAATAATTTATGTGGTTTTTATGCTTTATTTAATTTAATAGAAAGTATTGAAGCAATAAAAGAGCCTGAAAAAACATTAAAATATAACTCATCGGCTGAGTTTTGGAAGTTTTAATTATAAATTTTAAACTTTTTATGGTAATATAAGTAATTATACAAAGAAAATAATAACAAATGGCCTTGGAGACATTACGATATATTCCATGGAGATTTCGAAAGGACTTATTTATAAATAATATCTTAATATAACGAAAGGTTTTTAGATGCTTTATAGAACGGGGAAAAAATATAAATGATATATGCTTAGTTTGAATTTTAGTTCGGGAAAATGCTCATAGACATTAATAGTTTATAAAAAAAGATTAATTATTTTATTTAATTTAATGAACCTGATTAAAATATACTATTCCCTATAATGCTAGGGATTACTAATCATTGGGTGAGTTTTTTAGCACATAAGGATAATAAAGGAAATTTAGAGTTTTTTTATTTTGATAGTAGAAATAGGGATTATTTAGAATGGAATAATTAATAAATTGAAGATTATTTGGCCTATAAATAAAATAAGAGAGTAAAAAAATTCAGTAATTTTGAACTTTTGGTCATTAGATAGGGAGTAGTTGATATTTAATTAAGTTTAGAAATTTTATGTTAATGCTTAATTGGAAATAAAAGTCTTTATTTTTATTAATCAAATAGTCTTTTTTTAGAATTTTTTAATTAGTTTTTGTTTAAAGTAGAAGATTTTAAGAATGGTATGTATATTTTCTAAGAGCAATAAATAGAAGATTTTGAAAATTTTTGTTTAGATTATCATTATTCTATTGTTTCTTTTTTTAAAATTTAGAATGCTTAAGGAAATTTGACTGAGGAAAACCTGACAAAATTAAATGGATTTATATATGTATTTAAAATATTTTATGATTAAATTTAAAA